TGTTGCAAATGTAATGTAATATTAGTTTTCAGTGAATTGAACGTCGATGTTTCGTTTCTCTGTGATTTTGATGATGCCTAAAGATTCAGTTCAGTTTTTTTGCTACTTTACCGTTATATTTCCTAATCATTTATTTATACTAAGAATTTGTTTTCATATTGGCGTAACTAAGGATAATTATACGTAAGTTACAGATCGATAAAGAATCCAATTATTATTGTCTCGATATTTTCTTATTTATTTGTCGTCACATATTACAGTCAGTCACTAAATAAACGCAAAATGATGTGAAATATTATATATATGTATATCGTATAAATGTTGTATAAAATGTTGTATCAAAAATTCTGGACTGATTACTAGAATATTGAATGTAAATAATTATTTTAATTAGGTACATGTTAATAAATTAGTCTTAGACGCCACCGACTGTATGAATATTGTTTAGGTGGAAATAAAATTGAATTTAAAAAATATAAAATGTTGTTTCTATTTGTTTTAAAAACCTTGAAAGAAAAGCACACAGAAAAAAGTGCATTATTATTAAAGGCACTTAGAGTATAAAATAGTTATTGTTCAATTCAGGTCAAAAAGAGTTAAAAAATAAATAACAAAGGGACATTTTACTTACTTTCCAACAGCAATTCTGTTTCACGTAGAAAGAGTAAAGATAATATACAACACATATTGCATTCTACTTCCTTAAGCATAATTGACATATTATTACTCAGAGAGATTGAGAGTTTTGATTAAGATTTTATTAATCGGGCTGTATACTTCATCCCTAATCAATATTTTTAAAGTTTTCATTACTTACAACTAGAACACGAGTAAAACAAATCTGAAAGAAAATGTTGTTTATTAAAATTGATTATTAATTTTAATACATACTCGTACGTACTAAATATTAATAAGACATGAGTAATTTTGCAAAATAATAGTTTACAATACATAATTATATTGATCGAAATCCACAAAGTTGCACCTTTCCAGGAAAATGGTATTTAAATCACTAGGTAGTCATTCGAGTCAATAAAAAAATTATAAAATCAATATACCTTTGAGATTAACATTAAAATAAGTCATAGGTATTGACTATTTTATTCAATCGCTTTTATTCAGATCACATCTAGACAAACGGCATTTAAAAAAATGTCGTATAAGTGAATTATAAATTTTGTGTATGAGATAGACACTGAAATAATACTTGTAGGTCATACATGAACCTTTCTTGTATTCACTGATTCATCCAGTGTCAGGATGAGTATGTATTATAATCCACTAGCGTCCCGCCCCGGCTTCGTAGGGTGCAATATGCATGTTTTATACATATAAACCTTCCTTAAGAATCACTCTATCTATTAAACAAAACTGCATTAAAATCCGTTGCGTAGTTTTAAAGATCTAAGCATACATAGGGACAGATAAATAGCGGATAGCGAGTTTGTTTTATACCATGTAGTGTATATATAATCTATTATTTTTTTACAAAATTACTCATCTCTACAGTAATAAAATTTTATAGCTAAATTATGAAAAAATGATAAATTAAATATTATTATCACAGTTGGAACTACAACTACTTTTTGATACAATAATAATTACCAACTTGTCATCTGAGTGAATATAGGTGCATATTGCTTTTTCATTTGGGTAAAATCAATTACAAAATTGAAGGAAAATTGTTTAACATATAAATGTTTTAAGATTCGAAAAAGTTGACATAAAAGTATAAATCATAGTGTAGGTTTATATTTCTGACATCCAAAAAACGTTCATAGATTTGTTAGTATTGTTAATTATTATCATAATGTTATTATTATTTTTAGAATATAATCACAAAATGTCTTATAAAATTTCCGTCATAAATGAATTTGAAAACCATTGACGATTGCTTTTAATTTTCATTCAAATTCACTCATATAATTTTTAACAAGGTATGGTTAGATTGTCTTGTGATGAAATTTAGCCTGTGTTCAGTCGGTGTAATATTATAAATTAAACAGTATTTTTTTAAATAATATATAATATGAATGGATTAAAATTGAGCATCTACATACTTCTCAACCCATACAAGGGAAGCTTAGGTATATATAAAGCAATATATATATATATCACTATTGTATTGTATAAATGTTATATATAGTATATATAATTGATATAAAATGCCTACGAACACTAGCCCTGTTTATTCATTATATACTGATGATTTAATAGGAATGGATTTAGGGCATTTAATATTCCCATATTATTAAAATTTAGTTAAAAATTGAATCCATCAGTATATTACAGGTTTTATTAAAAAATATATATATATAATGATCAAAAAACGGGCGTCAATTTTTTTTATATTATATCTAAATACTGATATTTTTAATACGGATACCGATTATAAGGCAACATCGTCAAGCTTTATTCATATCTACTAATAAATGTCTAAGTATTTTTTTAATACATTGCAATGATGACTACAAAACTATGCGTACAACACATATGTAGGTATGTATTATATGTCATATTATCGCTATTTTATGTAAGTTTTTTTTACTATGGCAACTGAGTTTCTCTTCTACCTTTTCCGATGTGGTAACACGCAAAATGCCTTTTAAAAAGGTAAGGCCTACACTGGTCAACCCTGTCTCTAAAACCGAATATGCACGTACGATTATACAAACATAGCCTGTATTGTTTCTTTAGTATGATTCTTAACATAACATATCATCACGCCTTTTTATCCCCGAAGGGGTAGACAGAGGTGCACATTTCGGCACTTAAAGCTACTGTACAATGTAACACCCACTTTTCACTAATGTTATAAGTCCAATCTAATAGGGGATGAGCCTATTGCCATATACCGGGCACATTTCCAGACTCCGTGCTACTACTGAGATTTTTAAAAACCCAGTAATACTTTGCCCGACCCGGGATTCGAACCCGAGACCTCTTGACCAGCAGTCGCACCGGCCAACGAGGTAGTCAATTTGATTTTAAGAACTCTGAAAAGCTCTAAATCAAACTTTAGGCATTATTTGAATATCTTTATCTCACTATTCTTTACCCAACTGCTCATAACAATCTACTATGTTGTTATATGTAAAATGTCGTGGTGGCTCGAAGGTTTCAGACGCCCGCTTCTCATGCATGATGGGCGCGGGCTCGAAACCTAACAACGGCGAATGTACTTCAACCTACCAATGTGACTTTTTCCGAGTCATATGTACTTTCTAAGATTATCTAGACACCACTGACAAACGGTGAAGAAAAACATTGTAAGGATTCTGGGCTTATAATTTCTAATTATAAGTTTGAAATCACCAACCCGCATTGAGCTAGCGTTGTGGTTAATGCTCAAACTTTATCCGTGTGAGAAGAGGCTTTGCTCAGCAGTGAGCATTTATAGGATGATGATGATGGTGCTGGTATATTATTTTTCAGACATATTAACCTCAAAGTATTACTGGGTTTTTCAAAAAATTCCCAGTAGTAGCACGGAGTCTGGAATTGTGCTCGGTATATGATAATAGGCTCACCCCCTATTACATGAAACTCATAACATGAATAGTGAAAAGTGGGTGTTACATTGTACAGTGTTTGTTTATGTTTATGTTATGTTATGTTACATATTAACCTTTAGTATGCTGGAGCGTGGATCTGAGACAAAATGTATGTCCTATTGTATTCTATAAACAATTGTTGTATAATCAAATGGTTAACCTTCAAGTACTGACGTGGTTTACTCATACCATAAACGCTGACGTGACGTATGTCAAACACCTTAATAAATAATCGAAATGGATTCCTTTTATTTATTGATTTGCACAATATTTACTTGTATTCTGATCGGTCCATTATAATTCTATTAAAGAAAGTGCAAAAATTACAACATTCTCGAATGAAATCAGCGGTTTCTGATTCAAATTCTATAAACTTAAAATATAAATATTTCGCATAACTTAAAAAAATATATGTTAAAATCTTAGCTACAATACAATTATTTGGACGTTTTTTTGGAAAATTCTTATATTCGTGAACACGCCGTCTATGAGACACCCACGTCAGTAGTTAATGGTTAAGTAAAGAAATTCATTCGTACGTGTAAACGTAGCCCAATCACCCTTAAAATTACATATACGTGGCCTTAGGGTCTAATGTAGTGAATACTGAACCCTTCTATAGTTAAATTATTGATGATACTTTAATACTATTTGAAAATCTTCTTTATACAGAGGGTATTATTATACTTCACTTTTTCTTCAAAAGAAGGATATTTTTTTTACTAGTAGTATTAGAATTTATCAATAGAGAAAAGCATATTGTACTAAATTAGCTAAAATCGCGGGTTACTCACGTGAATATACAGAGAAAAGCTCTACTAGTTTCGAACCACAGAGGGGTTCTTCCTCATGAGCAGCGTAGCTTACTGATTCACGTGAGTAACCCGCGATTTTAGCTAATTTAGTATGTCTCACGATAGTTATTATAAAAACCTACTGTACTCATAAACACAGGCCATAATTCTAAGTTTGTTACTATAACATCGAAAGCTGGAATAAAAATTTCAGAAAATCTCTGGATAAATTGAATATACAGTAAATGTATAATAAATAAAATAAGACATTTTTATAATAACTATCGTGAGGTATACTAAATTAACTAAAATCGCGGGTTACTCACGTAAATATACTGAGAAAAGCTCTACTAGTTTCGAACCACAGAGGGAGTTCTTCCTCATGAGCAGCGTGCGCGGTCGCGGCCATGTCACGCAGCATACTGACCTGTGCAGGCTGCACCATCTTACGACCTTTTCTCAGTACATACGCGTGAGTAACCCGCGATTTTAGTTAAATAAGACATTATTGCATTCAAGCCATGCTAGAGGCTCATATTCGCTGGTCGCGAAATGCTGCTCATGAATATGAGCCTCTAGCATGGCTTGAAACTAGTCGAGTTCCTCGTCAAATAATTACGTGAGTAAGCCGAAAACATAATAATTTATTTAGTATGTCTCACGGAAGTTATAATACAAAATAAGAAATTGTTTTCTTCAAAACAAAATCTTAGTCAAAAATGTAATATAGCACACTCTGTGTAAATTCTAGGTGACAATACACAATCAAGCCCAATTGACTTTACAATCACCCGAAGTCACCCACTATCAGGCATAGGCCAAACCCACTCTTAGAAAAATGGACTAAGGTCTAAAATGGTACATTTATTATACGAAAATGATTAATTATAGTCACTAAATCCGCTTAATGGCATCAGTATGATTATTTAAATGCATGTCTATAATAACTTCATCGGAACCGATAGACTTTTTACTAGGGGTCACTATGCCGATGTCCACGTCCGTGTTTGGGGTCAACCCGTTTATGGGGTCCTGGAATTAGAAATTACAATATTGGTACAGGAAAGACTGTCTCGTTGGCCGAGTGGTCGCTAGTGGGCTAAAGATATACTAGGTTTTTAAAAAATTCTCAGTATTAGCAGGCAGTCTGAAATTGTGCTCGGTATATGGCAATAGACTCACCCCCTATTACATGTGACTCATAACATTAATAGTGAAAAGTGGGTGTTACACTGTACAGTGGCATTAAGTGCCGTAATGTTCACCTCTGCCTACCTTTTCGGGGACAACATATTCATGTTATGAGTCCCATACAATATGGGGTGAGCCTATTGTCATATACCGGGCACATTTCCAGACTCCGTGCTACTATGAAATAAAAAAAAATGCAGTAATACTTTGCTCGACCCGGGAATCGAACCCGAGACCCCTTGCCCTACAGTCGCACTAGCGACTACTCGGCCAACGAGGCAGTCAAAAATACATGTTGAAATTGTACGGACAAATGACAAAAGTCCACTGCCACCGTAAGACTACTATCGGTTGCGCTAACACGCATATTTGTATCCGTGTGCGTACGCGTGCGTGTGTTTATGCGTACGCACGAGTTTTTATGCACATTAATATGAAATTAGTGGTAGTGGACTTTTGATCTTTGACTGTAAATGAAAAGAATCTTACCGCATTTAAAGCGTCGCAGGCCATCAGCTCGTTCTTGGACATGTGTTCCACTACTGCGGCCGCGTAGCAGTCTCCGAGCATGTTGTTAGTAGTCCTTATACGGTCACTGTAAGATCAAAGAAATAACAGATATTATAATTAATCATATAATCATACCTAAGTTGGCTGAAGACTATCTCGTTGGCCGAGTAGTCGCAAATGCGACTGCCAGGTTAAGAGTCTTGGGTTCGATTCCCAGGTCGGGCAAAGGGTTACTGGGTTTTTAAAAAAATCTTAATAGTAGCACGGAGGCCAGAATTGTGCCCGGTATATGACAATAGACTCACCCCCTATTACATGGGACTCATAACATAAATAGTGAAAAGTGTGTTACATAGTACAGTGGCATTAAGTGCCGTAATCTGCATCTCTGCCTACCCCTTCGGGGATAATAGACGTAATGTTATGTCAAAATTAAATAAAATATTCTTTAAGGAACTCAAAAAATCGTACCTCCTTTATTAAAAACAGTCTCAATACAGAGCTATTATTAGTAAGCTTTTGTCCAATCTAGAAAGTATTACTAACAAATATGTGGTCGTATCGCAACCATTACTTGAATTTTATACTGTTTTAATTTCTAGAAAAGGTATAGGTAAGGTTATACACATTTGTCTGGACTTTAAAAGAGACGAACCTCTGAGTTTGTTTCGGCATTTCTTCTCAGAGTAGTCAGTTAGGAAATGTCGACCTCATCGTTCGCTTGATAAAATTGACGTGTTAAAGTGCTGTATTGTAGCCTATTTGCAGAAATAAATTCACTTGTTTCACTTGTTTCACTTGTCCAGAAACCACATTGCATTTAACTCTTCTCTTTTTTAGACAATCGAAATAATTCTTTCCGTAAAAAAAACCGTCTTTAACCCCCTCATTTTTAAGTCGCTTAATTAATACACCAAATTCTTCTCCTAATTGGAACAGACATTTGTTTGAAAACCACATCAAAATTCGGTTCAGCTAATTGCGATAATTAGCAAACTGAGAACCAATTTTTAAAAATAATATAACATCACGACTTTTTATCCCCGAAAAGGTAGGCAGAGGTGCACATTATGCCACTGTACAATGTAACACCAACTTTTCACTATTTATGTTATGAGTCCCATGTAATAGGGGGTGAGCCTATTGCCATATACCGGGCACATTTCCGGCCTCCGTGCTACTACTTAGATTTTTAAAAACGCAGTAACACTTTGCCCGACCCGGGAATCGATCCCAAAACCCCTTGCCCGGCAGTCGCACTTGCGACCATTCGGCCAACGAGGCAGTCAGTTTTTAAGTCGGTTAAAAAGACACCAGAACATATAGTATAATTGTACTCACACAAGCCAGTCCACGGCGAATAACAAGGACACATCGTGCGTGGGAGCATCCACGGCGGCCAGCACCACCAGGAGCAGCACCATCGCGGCCGACGGAACTGACGCAGAAGACACTGACGCTGCAGTTGAAGTCAGGCTGAGGAAATTATAATAAAAGGTTTATTTTACTTTTTACATAACATAACATCACCAAGTCAGTTATTCATGTCCCTGGGACGCGCCGGACTTCAGTGTTCCGGTGTTTTCATGGTTGTATCTACTGTAGATCCTGGCTTACAGGAGTTGCAGCGGTTTTGGGAGGTTGTGGCGGGCTTGTCCCAAAAAAAAAAAAAACATAACATCACGCCTTTTTATCCCCGATGGGGTTGGCAGAGGTGCACATTACGGCACTTAATGCCACTGTACAAT